GGATATACGGCGCGTGGATGTACAGTGCGTGGAGATACCACGCGTAGAAATACGGCGCGTAGAAATACTACGCGTAGAAATACAGCGCGTGGGAATACGGCGCATAGAAATACAATGCATGAAATCACCAAGCATGCAAATACAACGTGTGTAAATACCAGCCGTGGAAATACAGCGCATATTGCACGTGATAATACAGGGCATGAAAGTAGCACGCGTGGAAATACGGCGCTTTGGGGCATTACGCGTGCAAATACAGCGCCTAACAAACTTCATACCACCGTTAACCCTCGCGCCATTCTCCACATATTAAAGTGTAAGTTTCCAGGTCGGAAAGTCCAGGAAGTAAAGTTACCCGAGGAATGAAAACGAGTGGTTAAGCGGACGGGATAAAGTGACGCAGTCGGGACTAAACAAAGTGAAAGAAGGAACAAGGTGAAATAATGCAAATTAGGTAAAGCGTGGGGGTATGAAATAAAGAGTAGAAAGAACGGGAAGGAATGAATGCAGCGGGAGAAGCGGAATATTAAGAAGAAGAAAAATGGCGGGATTAAAGGAGGGAAGCAAGGGGAGGGAGTGTCTCAAGGGGGACCAAGAAACAGTTCGTAAAGCTGTTCAGCTGGGCGTTTACATTCGTGCAGGAATTCGCGATTACAAGATTCCATGGCACTAAAGGCTGGCCCGGAAGCCAACGTGCACCGGATGAGAGCAAACAGGGTGATCCATAGAATGCGAAAATGCAGACACGAAAGAGATACGTGGCTTTACAATGAATCTTCCTCGACGCGAACTACCATAACTAGAAATATTTTCGTACTCCAACAAACAAGATAGACGTGATATCGTACGTTCTCAACGTTTGTGAAAAGATTCTTTATTAAGTTATCGCATCAGCCTCGTTTTCAGCGTGTCACATTTATGCCTTGAACACCGTAATTAATAATTTGTCTTCTCGCTCCGTTTAAACTTTCTATGGCATATTTAATATTACTCCCGGCTATGTATTTATGTTCACGCTCGGTTTAAACTTCCTATTTGCATTGTTACCGTTACACATTTTCTATTGTTACCGTCACGTATTCCGTGGTAGGAAAATGAAATTTTGCATACCTTTCGGAAACATTCCGGTACGTCTTGTATCATCCACACTTGTCTTTACGAACGCTCGTAAAGTCTGTAAAGTTTAATCGTGAGTATATGGCGCGTGGACACACTACGCGGGGAATTATGGCGCGTGGAAGCACTGCGTGTAGAAATATGGCGCGTGGACATACGGCGCGTGGCATTACGGCGCAAGGCAATAGAGAGCGTGGAAACACCACGCATGGAACTATGTTGGGTGGAGGCACTACGCGTAGAAACACCACGCGTCAAAATACGGCGCGTGGAAATACTACGCGCAGAGATACCACGCGTAGAATTACGGCGCATGGAGATATAGAGCGTGGAAACACCACGCGTAGAAATACTACGCGTAGAGACACCACGCATGAAATTACGGCGCGAGGAAGTACTACGCGTGGAATTCTGGGCGCGTGGAAACACCACGCGTAGAAATACTACGCGTAGAGACACCACGCATGAAATTACGGCGCGAGGAAGTACTACGCGTGGAATTCTGGGCGCGTGGAAGTACTACGCGTGGAATTATGGGCGCGTGGAAGTACGATGCGTGGAAATACTACGCGTGGAAATACTACGCGTAGAGACACCACGCATGGAATTACGGCGCATGGAAGTACTACGCGTGGAATTATGGGCGCGTGGAAGTACTACGCGTGGAAATACTACGCGTAGAGATACCACGCATGGAATTACGGCGCGTGGAAGTACTACGCATGGAAGTACTACGCGTGGAATTACGGCGCGTGGAAATACTACGCGTGGAAGTACTATGCGTGAAAATATTACGCGTAGAGACACCACGCATGGAATTACGGCGCATAGAAGTACTACGCGTGGAAATACTATGTGTAGAGACACCACGCATGGAAATATAGAGCGCGGAAACACCACACGTGGAACTACGGTGCTTTCTTCTTAGAAAGAACGAGCTTTCTAGAGGATCGTCCGAAAATCGACGAAAATAGTCAATAAAGGCTGATCGCCGATATAGTAGGAAGTTATCGGGAGCATCAGGTGCTCGAACGGGTGTGTTTCTCCTGTTGAACAGGGTTGAGGTCGTTTCAAGATAATCCCGACCAGGCAATTTGTTAATTGCGTTGTGTCAGGCAGGAAGTGACACGGGGTTGGCCGGTCGCATTTTGAAACGGCCTGCGACGCGAACGGAGCTTGTTAGCAGTAAACAACAATAATAATCTCGCTGATAACCCCGTTACGCGGCCACGGACGATGGGCCGAGAGTTTCACGGATCGCAGGTAACCGGGTAATTAAATCAGAAGCCAATCAACCGTTGATTCATTCGATTAATGAGCATCGGCGCAAGCTGCTTCATTTGCCGCCATTCGAGCCGGCAATTTATTTCGTTTTCGAGGACACGCCTTTCGGCCGCGAATCCTCGACAGAGCCGCGACCCGGAACAGGAAACGAAGAATGCATCGAATCGATTAAAACACGAACGGACATCCTTTTCGATAACACGATCCGCCGAACGAATCGTTTCTTTCAACCGCACGATAGCTTCTTTATGCTTGTTCCGGCCGGACGAGATTGAAATTCGATTTCGTTAATCGAGAAAAAACGGAGAGGTTTTGTTTGAAACGGTCCGGCCTGTCGGTGGAAATGTTCGTCTTTCACCGATCGGGAAAAGAATCGAAGATGGATCTTGTTCGTTTGCCCGGAGAATTCTTGGACCAATCGAACCGTTCGGAAACCCGACGATGCTTAATATTCGAGAGTAGCTGCTGTCTACCCAATTTCTGGTTCAATGAACCTATTCGTTCTTGGCTATGCTCGAACGCTGGAATATAAGATTAACTGCTACCCGTTTGTCTTCTTAATTTAATGGAATAATTTTGAATATGGAACAAGTGCACGAATCCTTAATAGAGCTATTTTGGGACAATAGTACCTCCCGCAGATTTTGATCTTTCAACTTTTGACAGCTTGGAAATTTCAGACTTTAGAAAATTTATGAAATATGCAAATTTATGAATTTAAAGATTTAAAGACCTCAGGTCAGAGTCACAATTAGAAAATCTACAATAATGGTGCTCGTAAAGACAATTGATCATGCAACGTATACAAAATTTGTTATCGAACATCGTAATGACAATGCTCCGCATCCGACATGATTTTTCCACCCTCACATTTCTGCATCACGTATGCATACAATTATTACGTTACCGGATCTTAAACAATAAATGATGCTGTTATTACAAGGTGTTGGTGAGTGCATTAAGTAAAATACAAAACATCCTTAAAATTATATGCGCCACTGGTTGATCGATAAGCATCAACGTGTTAAACGCGCCAGTCCATTATCGTTGCATGCGATTACTCCCGTTTGATGAAAAAAAGAAAAACGATAAATTTGCTCGCGGCCAATGAACATTTTCCATTTTCACTCGACGCCTGAACGATTCTCCTGTTCGCGTTATCTTTTTCGAAAACTTCCGTTCTGTCAACATACTCCGTCGAACAAGAGCGTTTAATGTAACTTGCTTCTCCGCGCGAACGGATAATTTGATAAAAATTTGTTTGATTAATGAAACGAACTTCCCGCGTCGCGTAACTTAAATTTTACCAGAAACTCAAGCACCGAATTGGCTGTAGCAGAGTAAAGAATAAAACTGTAATCTCATTAACAAACTCTGTTGCTATTTCTCATTATATCATATTTCAAGCATTATTAATTTTTTAGAAGTCTTATAACTTCGTAAAAATTTGCTATTTAGAGTGAAATATTTGAACAAGCTAACCCTAAGTATCAGTGTTTTCAATTCCGGTGCGTCTTGTATCATTCATGCTTGTCTTTACGAACGCTCGTATAGTCTGTTGAGTTTAGTGGTGAGTATATGGCGCGTGGAAGTACTACGCGTAGAAATATGGCGCGTGGACATACGGCGCGTCGAATTACGGCGCATGGAAATACAGAGCGTGGACCTACGCTGCGTGGAGACACTACGCGTAGAGATACCACGCGTGGAATTACGGCGCATGGAAATATAGAGCGTGGGAACACCACGCGTGGAATTACGGCGCATGGAAATATAGAGCGTGGGAACACCACGCGTAGAACTACACTGCGTGGAAACACTACGCGTAGAAATACTACGCGCAGAGACACCACGCGTGGAATTACGGCGCATGAAAATATAGAGCGTGGAAATACCACGCGTGGAACTACGGTGCGTGGGGACACTACGCGTAGAGACACCACGCGTGGAATTACGGCGTGTGGAATTACGGTGCGTGGAGACACTACGCGTAGAGACACCTCGCGTGGAATTACGGTGCGTGAAGACACTACGCGTAGAGACACCACGCGTGGAATTACGGTGCGTGGAGACACTAAGCGTAGAGACACCACGCGTGGAATTACGGTGCATGGAAATATAGAGCGTGGAAACACCACGCGTGGAACTACGCTGCGTGGAAACACTACGCGTAGAGACACCACGCGTGGAATTACGGCGCGTGGAGACACTACGCGTAGAGACACCACACGTGGAATTACGGTGCGTGGAAACACCACGCGTGGAATTAGGGTGCGTGGAAACACCACGCGTAGAGTAACGGCGCGTGGAAATATAGAGCGTGGTTTATAACTTCATCGAAATTTGCTATTTCAAGTGAAATATTTGAACAGGCCAACCCCCTAAGTATTAGTGTCTTCAACTACCTTCAGGAAGGTTCACTTGAACCTTGTATAAGGGGTTTAAATTTTATTAAGTTCGAAAAGCTGAATATTTAGAAATATATCAATACGAAAATTTGTTAATTAAAAAATGTGAAGTGTACATACGCGTTCCTATCTAAAGATCTGAGCCATGTGTGGCAATTACCGTTCAGTATGCTAAAGGGATTTACTTTACAGGATCACGGAAGATACGACGGTATTCAGAGGGTGTTCTTCGGCGGTGGTTTACGCTTTTGGCTGCACAACTTGCTGCTGCTCGACTCGTTATCGTACCTGTCGCACGGTCAGCTGAGCCTGAGCCTGAATCGCATGATCCTGGTGGACGTCGACGACATTTTTGTCGGCGAAAAGGGCACCAGACTCAGGAAGGACGACGTGATGGCGTTACTGACTACCCAGCAGAGGATCCAGGCGTTAGTCCCAGGATTTAAATTCAACTTGGGGTTTTCCGGGAAGTACTTCCATCACGGCACCGCCGAGGAAAATCTGGGGGACGACATGCTCCTGGAGAACGTCGACAGGTGGGTGTCACTGCATCTCCATTTTCAGCGACTGTTTACGTGGCTGCATTTTCCAAAGAATGGAAACGATCTGCCATTGAAAAGGGAAATTGGTGGGAGTTATTGCGCGAATGGGAGGGTAAACAGAACGCGAAAAGATTCATTGTCGAGGCAAATTGACGTACCGAGACATGACTGCGAACGCGTCACGGTTAATTGAACTCCCGGAAGTCGCACCTGCTCGCTAATCGTTGCAGTTTGCTCTTTAGTGTGACTGCTAATTGGTTTACCATGGGTGACGATTGGCTGTGTATCTTCTTGTTTCGTCGAATTGTCGAAACGTGTCTCGCTCGAATCATGTTCCTCTCTGACAAAAATCAAATCCACTCTGTTACAAAGATCCCAAAATTTTAAATATATAATAATTAGGTCACAAACTGGCAAGTTTATAATCGAAATTGAAGTACCTACCATCTCATGTAGAACTTGTAAAAATTTTGTTTGAACTGCACAAGTTCTACAACTCGTTAGCGATAAAAATTAGAGCGCGCACACCCGTCGCGAAATAAAATGTTAGAAATTGTGTTTTGCCCCCTTCTGTTGACAGTAAGCGGATTAAATTAATTTACGCGAACAAAGTGGCCTGTAACTTGCAGATTCACGTGGTTCTCTCATATGTGGAACCATCAACAACCCCACCTCTACGAGAATGTGACACATCTGCAACTGGACATGGCGCTGAACAAACAGTTCGCGAAAGACCACGGAATCCCGACAGGAAGCGGTTACAGCGTAAGTCCTCATCATTCCGGCGTTTATCCGGTTCACGAGGGGCTGTACGAGGCATGGAAAAGGGTGTGGAATATCAAAGTCACCAGCACAGAGGAGTACCCTCATTTGAGGCCCGCTCGATTAAGGAGAGGCTTCATTCATCGTAACATAATGGTACGTGTTCAACCAGTATATATTTAACAGGCTAAACATTTGGCTCCGCGGTCATTTTCAAGTTATGTTGGATTTTTCGTTTTATTTTCGAATAGTAAGACTTCATACAATGTTGTCGAAAGTAGTTTCAGCGAGCTTTTTTCTGTCGGTGATTGCAGCAGTGAATTCCGTTAGTTGGACGAGGTTAAATAATCAAACTCGTGAATCAAGCAATTTTCGTTCTTTGTTTTTCCGTCGCGACCACGCTCCGAGCATGCCAATAAACATTGTTCCGCGTTAACAATTGGCTTCCCGTTCGGAAACTATGCGAAAGCAATAAACGAATCGGCGCTCGAGCAAGCGAATCGGTAATTGCACGCTGCGCCATTTCTGCGTCGGTTAGTCTTTGCGCGAAGTTGCACGGTTCCGAGAAGGTTCGTGTTATACGATTTGCTCTACGCGCGAATTACACAGTGAAATAATTTTGTAAAACGCGATTTTTCCCTTCGAGTTGTACAAACGACTTACGCGTTTGTTTCTGTTAAAGGTTCTACCGAGGCAAACATGTGGCCTTTTTACACACACGATCTTCATCGATAGATACCCGGGCGGAAGAGACAAGCTAGACAAGTCGATACAGGGCGGTGAACTGTTTCAGACCATCGTTCACAATCCTGTAAGTGATTCTTTCGTAATGTAACTTTCAATAGTCTGTTTCATGAATATTTTTCATTGACTACGTTCTTTTGCAGATTAATATTTTTATGACGCACATGTCGAACTACGGAAACGATCGTCTGGCACTGTACACCTTCGAATCGGTGATCAAGTTCATCCAATGCTGGACGAATTTGAGGTTGTCCAGCTCGCCGCCTCTTCAGCTTGCCGAGAGATATTTTCAGCTTTACCCGGAGGAATCCGATCCCGTGTGGGGTGTAAGTTCCTGTCGTATTCTACGAAATAAACTATTTACTCGTGAGAAATGGGTAATGCATCTGGAGAAGAGTCGACGCTGTCGAGAAGAAAAGACTAATAGAATGTGCAAGAGTAAACTTAGAGACTGTTATATGTAAATACGTTCATGAATAATTGAACAGACGCTATGTAATAATCTTATAGAAATATCTGTTCCGTTAAATTAATAGCATGAAGATGTGGGAGAAAGCATGTAATACATTTTCAAGTTACTTAGTTTCTAAATTTAGAAGATAGCCCTTAATTGCGTGTATAGATAACTGTAATTCTTAAGCGATGCATTACGGAAACTTGTTATCGAATTTTCAGAATCCTTGCGACGACCAGAGACATCAAAAGATCTGGTCGAGGAATAAAACCTGTGATCAGCTGCCGAGATTCTTGGTAATCGGTCCCCAAAAAACTGGCACCACGGCTCTTTATACTTTCCTTTCCATTCATCCAGCGATAAGCAGCAATTTACCGAGTCCCGACACGTTCGAGGAGATTCAGTTCTTCAATGGAAAGAATTATTACAAGGGACTCGACTGGTGAGCGATTAAACTGAAAAACTTGTTGTTCTTCCTTTGAATCCTGTAACTAACCGCGCCATTATTTTTCTAGGTACATGAGCTTCTTTCCAGCGTCGAAAAACGAAAGTTCGAGATATCTGTTCGAAAAATCAGCAACCTATTTCGACGGGGAACTAGTACCACGAAGAGCTCACGCGCTACTACCTAGAGCAAAGCTGATTACTATACTTCTCTCGCCTGCGAGGCGTGCCTACTCCTGGTATCAACACACGCGAGTTCACGGAGATCCTGTAGCGAATAATTATTCCTTTCACTCGGTTATCACTGCGAGCGATACCGCTCCGAAACCCCTACGCGATCTCAGGAACAGGTTAGTTCGAACACGCGAGCGTGTGTAATAATTTTCTATTTGTTACGAACGTACGTCTCTGCGGTCGGAACAAATGTACCCGTCAGGCGTGGACGAACGGAAATATATGTAAATTGCTCATTCGCTTCCGCGCTAACACATCGACCAAGCTAATTTTTTCCATTGCGAAGTGAAAGGATCTTGAAATTTTATTTTTAGAGATTATAAATTTGCATATTTCACTTCTTGTTAAACATGTACTCGAAATGTATCCTACCTGTCCGGAAAGATTTTGTAAGAAATACACAATAAAGAGTAAAGGATAATCTGGTACATAAAAGCTTCGAAAGTCCCACTGCAGAGTCTTTCACTCGTTCCGCACAATTTGTGCCTTTCCGGATAACATTAAATTGCCCAGACGTGGAATACTAATACTTGGAGTACAAAATGTAATTGTTCTATATCCATTACAGATGCTTGAACCCTGGCAAATACGCTCAGCATCTGGAGAGGTGGTTGTCCTATTATCCGCCTCAGCAATTACACATCATAGACGGTGAACAGTTGCGTCAGAATCCTGTGGAGACGCTGCACGAGCTTCAAAGGTTCCTGAAGATCACGCCCGCTTTCAATTACTCGTCCCACTTGAGGTACGACCCCAAGAAGGGTTTCTTTTGTCAGGTTACCAACGAGGATCGCACGAAATGCCTCGGTAAAAGCAAAGGTCGCCAATATCCGCCGATGGAGGATAAATCGTACAAATTGCTTCAGGTACGTATCAAACGAATAATATGCGAAAAAGCAAGGTCTCTGTAACTGGTCGATTTCTTTGCAGAGATATTACTTGTCCCACAATACGGCTCTAGTTAAATTGTTGAAACGTCTCGGGCTGAGGACGATCCCACAGTGGTTGAAGGAGGACCTCACCGACACGGTGATGACCTAGCAAACGTCGATTACATGAAACGACACCGTTTCCGAGTTGTTTATCTCGACGGTAAACGAGATCCATCGTTTACTAGCGGAAGATCTGTAAAATAATTGTACATTGAATGTTCCACTGGACTCCGTTAATCCTCGATGGAAGGACCATTTACAGGCCTATCCCGGTGGAGTGGCCTAAAAACGATGGGGAGCCTGCGAAACTAGTCACTTAAGCGGTTTCACGGTGTCACGAACCGTGACTGTCGATCGTTGTTAAGTCGATAACGTTATTAATGTTATATTATTGTCACCATCTACGCGTCGTAGAGGATATGATTATTAGGAAACACAGCCCGCTCGCTGGTGCCATCATCCGTCTGTATTAGGACACTTTTCGTTCTAATCATTACTGGTAAGGTGAACGAGGAACGAACGATGATTTCTAGTTTCTATTCGAGTCACGACTCGATGCGATATTTTCTTTGAACGAAATTGAAAATATTTTGGTACGTCGGAGATCATGAACGACGTACATTGGTGAACAAGATTTGTAAATCGGTAATGCTACAACTTGGAATTAGGTATAGTGATATTTCGATATATGGCTTAAAAAATCTGACGTTTCGAAATGTCCAAATTTTTAAATTTGGAAATTTGAATTTTCTAAATTTAAAAATTGACTCTCTGTAAATGTGAAGATTTGTAAATTTGAGATTTCTAAGTAACTTTGTGCGTTACAACGGTGGAGGAACACCATTGATACTCGTGAAAGTTGTTGAAGAAAACTAAATTGCCATATAACGAGACTGCACTATACGCGAAAGGATGGAGACCAATCATGTTTTTTGTAAAGAAACGATGCTAAACTTTGGTAAAACGTGATCTGTCCAAATCATGTTGGAATTTTTGAAGATTTATTTCCTCGTGAAGTGATCGATGAGTCGATGATCCCTTAATAAGTCCTTATCTCTGTTGTGGTACTAATTGCAGGATCGTTTCTGCGAGCGTGAGATTTTCGGGACTTTGAGCTTTCCTCCCGCCCACTTACCTCTCGGAGACACAATGTACATTAATTCTCGTCGTGTAAGGGTATATAGAAGAAAAAAAACTATAATGATGATTCTATGTATATTTTGACAATACTATTCTTGGTACCGCCGACGAAAGAGGCCGATGAAAGGTGTGTGATCGCGTCCGTTTGTACATTTATGTATCGTACTATTTTGATGTGATCGTAGGTGTACCATAATGATATAAAAAATTAAAACGAAGAAAAAGATATAACTATTACGGGAGTGATCGGTAATCGAGATCATTTCCGACGAACGCTAATCTTAAATGATCAGATGATAACTGCCTATTTGCAATAATTGCTATTGTCACGTTTAAGGTACACGGAGATTTCTAGTTTACGATAATCCTGAGTTCCGCGATAGAATGAATTTATTCGTTGTTGAAGAGAATCGGTTGATTTTCGGAAACTTTAATACCTGATGTATTATACTTAGCGAATCATGTAAATCGTCGAGAGAGAATGCATTGTTGTGAATGAAGTGATTGTTCGCGACATAGTTTAATCGTGAGGATCGTTTGTTGAATGCATATCGGTTGCAGTTATATCTGTTAATTCTGTATACGCATATCGATTACTTATTTTTTTTTTACACGAACACCCACGAAATTCTCGTTAAGCTACCTTCTTAACAACTTTTCTAACCCTTCTTTGGATTTTGGGGACCTATTAAATATTTACACCATTGTTAACTATTTACACCATTGTTTTAATGAATTTTTATATATTTATTTGAATATTTAAGTAGTTGATCTATTTGAGCAGGTTTAGTCGCTGCATAACATAGTTTGCACTTACCAATTTGGTAATAAAATGGCACCTTGGAATTATCTGAATTCGGGAATCCAAAAGAGGGTTGATACTAATTTTACTATTGCTTTATAACTCGTTTTGAGGATCTTTTTTTTAACTAGATATCTATTTATTTCACAATACAAGTTGATACTTAAACAGAAATGAAATAGCACAATTAATTGTGAAAGTCATAGCAACGGATATTGTGAACATTGTAAACTTTGGCTCGTATTGAGCAATTTAGAAACTATGACGTCATTCCCTATGAAGTATATATTTATAAAAGTCTGGTGTCATCGTCAATCAATCATTTGACATTTAGATACTATTTTATTATTAGCGTTTTGTTATCCCTTGTATATTTTGTTTTCACTTTTATACTACCCGTTAAATCGTGTCGCGTGACGTTTAACGAATCATGTACAAAGTTTATTGTTAATAATATATGATAGTTAACAATAATGATATTAACATTAAGCGATTGATCTTGTTTCGTCGAATCGTGCCATTTTACCAGTGTTGTACATACGGTTGTATTATTGTACCAATCGCAGAGTTGGATCTCTAGAGTCAATATTATCAATTATGTTCAGTATGGCGGTAGCAACAATTGTCCAAATTGCTACCAGCTGACAATAATAAAACCAGAATCACAAAAATCATAGGGAGATTCATTATACAGGTATAAAGATTTAATGGTCCTTATAGTAATTAGCACTACTTCATCGTTGGTTTATCAATGTGCGTAATTTAATTTGTAAATTTGAGAATTCGATATTTTAAAATTTAGATAATTACGATACTTTAAAATTTATAATAATTAGCTTAGTCCTTGATTGTAACACCAGAAAATTAGATTTTGGGTGTAATTAGATCATGGGTTTATTTACTTTTAAAAATAATTATAAAAACGAGTGAATGAAAGTTGGACGATAAACAAGCTATATCATTATTTGTTATCCCAATAAAAAAGAATTTTGATAATCTCTGTAATTTAAAATAAGAAATCAGAAGTCTGTAATTTTGACAGATTCAATTGTCCTAGTATTAATATAATATTCGATGTAATATTTGTATGAGTTATAGGTTGATAACTGTACCAGCGATGAAATATTGCTAATATTAATTTGCGTGTACATTCGCATTTCAGGTAATATACCGGCAAACACGCAGAAAGATAATGAACGTTTTGTAGATGTTCTAACAGACTGTTGTGCAGACATGAAAAAAGAAAAAGAGAAAAAACTATCATTGTACGAATAAAAGGAGACAAGTGTAGAATATGTGTACGACAGTTTAATAGAAACCTTTGATTATTTAACTTAAAATTACTCTATTGTAAAATACTGTAATAACTGTATGAATAGTATGTAAGTTCTAATAAAACAAAAGTTTAAAATCTTCGGTACAGCTTTTACTGCTCATTCTTTCTATAATACATTTTTATACATTACAACAAATTTTAACTTCACCTTTGAATTACAAATAGATCCAGATCCTACAATTTTTTTCTATTAAATTAAATTTAATGCACCAGTCGAAGGTGTCACCACGACAATTAACGCGTTAACTGCTGCTCAGGACGAGGCGTCCCTCCAGGTTGAAGAAAAACGTCCCGATTGCCGACACCGAAGAGTCTCCGCAACAAAGATCTCTGCTGGCTCCTCTCCGCGGCAATATTCGCTCTTAAATGATTCAGAAATTCTGTTCTGTTCCTCAACAAACCAAAAAATTCTAACAAAGCAAAGGCAATCAACATGACGATGCCTACAAGAGCCATTATCGTGATTAAACAGATCAGGTGCCAAGAAAAATTTAATAAAATGAACTCAATCTCCTCTGAGCCATCGATATTGACAAGAGGGGCCAAGAGACTTCCCAGAAGAGAGCTGACCAAATAAATAGCTATAATATTACAATAATCTTCGAGAGCGCTATGAAATACTTTTCGCGACACTAAAAAAAAGATTATGCTTCCAAACGAAGCCACACCAATTGATCTTAGAGGGCAATAATTATCTGCTCCAGCTGATATCATTACTAAGCCAGCTATTATGGCTTGGACACATCGCATTACAGTCCAGTGATTGAATTCTTCTGTGATGAATATGAAATGATAAGCTACGACAAGCAAGCTGCACGATGACGCAGCCAACAAGTTGTTGATGTAGATGTTGTGAAGGTTATTTCCAATTTTGTGGGTTTCTGTGTTGGCGTTTGGCATGCTGAGACTCTGAAAGATTCGAAATTTCTAAATTTACAAATATGCAAACTTCTAAAGCTAGATTCATGATACAATTATTGCAATGAAACAGTAAAATGATGTAACGATAGAATGAAATAGACCTAAGTGATAACTTTGCAGCAAAATTACCTGCAAGCCAATGAATACCATTAGATGACCGGCATAGACGGTTCCTGGCGAACCGGGACCGACACTCGCGTTATCTATGGAGCTCAAAAGAAGAATTCTTCGCCCCAGCACCGCGCACCCCATGAATCCCGATAATCCTCCCACGAGATGAACAACCGCGGATCCAGAATAATCTTGAAACTTGACATCTCTTCCGCTCAGTGAATTCTGTGTCATCCATCCTTTGGGTGTCCAAATCCAGTGGATCAAGAACGGTTGTATCAGACCGGCTAATAGTAATCCTACTACGAGGTAACCGACGGTATGGGCTCGACCCACGATTCCACAGGTGCAAATCGCTGCTGCGATTACCACAGCCGACCAGCCAACTATGGCTTCGTTCTTATCGACGACCGCGTCACCGACCCAATATCCTTCGCCTACCACCCCGCCTACGTCGCCGTTGTAGGCGATGACAATTCCCACCAGTATATAGACAAACGTCACCCAACAGAAATCAGCGATGTTCTGCAGCAGAATTAGATTAACATTGTCCACTGGCACGCTACCGATGTGTATCAGAACGAATCCAGCTCGCAACAGGACAACTAGGACGACGCGAACGAGGCTTGGTCCCCAGGGAATGCGAGAAAATAAGCTGGTGTTATCGTCGACACGACTTTCGCTCGCGTAGTCGTAGAAATTGTAGTCAAAATCGTTAGACATCCCCTTGGTCAGGAGAAATTGATGTGGTGAAGCTTTTGTGTTCCTGAGATTACATTATCGAAATACTACACATTTGGGGAGGTTATTACGAGTATGTGACAATCGTTTCAAATTCCACGCGCGCGCATTTGTATCATAGTTCATGTTAGACAGTTTAATTATCAATCGATTTTATGTCAAAATGGCAGGGGTCATTCGATAAATGAAAGGCCAAATATAATTCTAAGAGACAAATTAGAATGTATGCGTAGAGAAGTATCGTTTCTGTTATTTATTTCTATATCCTCATATATATTTAACGTTAATAATAAAAAGCATTCATATTATAGTAGTATTTGAAGAGGATTATTTCTGATATGTGAAAAAGAATACGTGGTGGCGATTCAAATATTCGAAATGTGCCGCGCAGATTGAAAGTCGAGCGCTGATAGGTCGCGATGCCGGCAGCCAATGGGAAGCAGCGTTGCTAGGTCCGCGCATGTCATGCCATTGGCCGTCGCAAGGTCCGCGGATCCAGAATAATCTTGAAACTTGACATCTCTTCCGCTCAGTGAATTCTGTGTCATCCATCCTTTGGGTGTCCAAATCCAGTGGATCAAGAACGGTTGTATCAGACCGGCTAATAGTAATCCTACTACGAGGTAACCGACGGTATGGGCTCGACCCACGATTCCACAGGTGCAAATCGCTGCTGCGATTACCACAGCCGACCAGCCAACTATGGCTTCGTTCTTATCGACGACCGCGTCACCGACCCAATATCCTTCGCCTACCACCCCGCCTACGTCGCCGTTGTAGGCGATGACAATTCCCACCAGTATATAGACAAACGTCACCCAACAGAAATCAGCGATGTTCTGCAGCAGAATTAGATTAACATTGTCCACTGGCACGCTACCGATGTGTATCAGAACGAATCCAGCTCGCAACAGGACAACTAGGACGACGCGAACGAGGCTTGGTCCCCAGGGAATGCGAGAAAATAAGCTGGTGTTATCGTCGACACGACTTTCGCTCGCGTAGTCGTAGAAATTGTAGTCAAAATCGTTAGACATCCCCTTGGTCAGGAGAAATTGATGTGGTGAAGCTTTTGTGTTCCTGAGATTACATTATCGAAATACTACACATTTGGGGAGGTTATTACGAGTATGTGACAATCGTTTCAAATTCCACGCGCGCGCATTTGTATCATAGTTCATGTTAGACAGTTTAATTATCAATCGATTTTATGTCAAAATGGCAGGGGTCATTCGATAAATGAAAGGCCAAATATAATTCTAAGAGACAAATTAGAATGTATGCGTAGAGAAGTATCGTTTCTGTTATTTATTTCTATATCCTCATATATATTTAACGTTAATAATAAAAAGCATTCATATTATAGTAGTATTTGAAGAGGATTATTTCTGATATGTGAAAAAGAATACGTGGTGGCGATTCAAATATTCGAAATGTGCCGCGCAGATTGAAAGTCGAGCGCTGATAGGTCGCGATGCCGGCAGCCAATGGGAAGCAGCGTTGCTAGGTCCGCGCATGTCATGCCATTGGCCGTCGCAAGGTCGGGGTCTCGAGCCGCAGGGACGAGCCGGCAAGCGATGCGGCCCGTCGTCGACGTAGGTAGTCGTTCGAGGACGGTCGTTGGTGTCTCAGTGTTTGGTGTAAGTGACCCGTGACAAAGAAAGGTTGTACGAGGTGCTCGTTCGACCAGTGTCTCGTTTCTGACAGAAGAAACAGGAGGATGGCTACGGTATGCTGTCGCGCTCTTTACGCCGTCAGATGGTACGAGGTGTCCCGCGTGTTGAGTGTTTCCTCCACCTTGGTGACAACAAAAAACTACCGGAACGTGAGTGTTGACATAGTATTTTACAATTCTTATATGAAAATACTACGCACAAAATGAATGTATGCGTTTTGTCTCGCCCGTTCACGCGTTTAAACGCGGCGTCTCAATAAACGAATGCATTCGATGCAGAATTGTTTTTTTGTACGATGCCCCCTTCTTTTCTTCGAACGCGAGCCTTTCTCTCACACTTCATTGCGTTCCCTCCTTTTTTTATATCCTCGTATCTCTCTCGCAGTCGAGCAGGGAGCAACAGGCACCCAAAAATAAACAGACAGCTAACGGGAACCTGTCATTCGTTTTATCAGAAGGTACGATTAAAGTGAGCTTGCGAATTCCGCCGGTAGTACTTGCAGTGCATACGTAAACAACTGTTCCACTGTATCTTGATCAAATATGGATACCATGTGGGACGAAACATTCGTTAGTCAGGACTATTTTACGGTTATCCTTCCGACGTTCGTTCTCCTATATTTACTCGACGTATTACCTTCCATTTGACCACGGAATACACGTGTCATAGTTACGTTACCGATACGCTGAATGCATTACGCGGGAACACGTGTAAATTCGTTTCTCTCGCGGTTGTTTACGATCGCCTTCGTAAAGTAACGATTTCTTCTATATAAATTGTGATACTATATTATCAACGCGTACGTGTATAAAATGTTTTTATTTTAATACCCGTATACCTTCATTACGGTAGTCACATGAACTCTTCCAAAATTGTATTTACGTATTTAGTTATTCACGCGCCATATTCTTGCGCAGACTGCGTGCCTGCAGTATGCCGGCATTCATTACTATGATGAATCCTAATTACTGCACCATATCAGTTCACAAGATAAGTTATTTATTTTATCAAACATGAAAACACGCATATAGAAATTGGACACGCGACGTTGCGTTTCGTAGGCCCATTCAGTTGCCGCATCTCGTTTTAGTTATTAAGTATTATTAAGTCGTATGTTATTTAATATTTATTATATTGTTGATGCGTTGATGTTAAATAATTTTGTCACGAGTTATTTCTTATGTCATTCATTATATCGCCATATATTGAATTATTCTACATTGTATCGCCTGGTATTACAGATTATATTGTCTGCAATTATGTGTATTATGTATGACGGATATATTGCCTCGCTTGAAATTGCTCATCGTAAATTGCCACGCGTTATATCACCATGGAATTACCGCGCGATATATCATCATGAGTGAAATTACCATTTGTAATATTTCCACGTTCAAAATTACACCGTGCACTACATCTCCAAGATTAAAATTGCTACACGTTATATCGCCATGCGTGGAGTTGCCTCGCGTTATATCGCCGTGCGTTGTATAACATCACAATCAATACCAATGGTATGTACAGAGATTTCAATATTTGGAATTTGGAATTCTACATGAATCATCGTCAATAGTATTTTGTATGTCCGATATGAGTCACTCAATGATAAAAAGATCGCATTGCACTCGTGCACATGTTCCTCTTTTACAAAGAATGTAAAGAGAAGCAGTGTGATGTCCTGAGAAGTTTTAATTGGCTCATTAGAGTAGGATCAGCGTTTAATTTATCGTCACGTTGTGGCAGTTGACGTCAAAACGGAAAATGAGCTTCCTTCTAACATCGCGTCCGGGAAAGTATTGAACCCTGAACGATAGTAAATCATGTTCCGCGGCCTCGCGATAAGTGGACAGTATTTATTCGGCCTCGAGTACGCTGAAGTTCTCGGTGTAACAACCGAGGCAAATTATTCGTCGTAATACGTCATCACGATTCACTTGTGCTCCTTGATCGAGATAATTACAATTGGGGATCGTTCAAGCAAATTTTTAGTAACGAATCATCAGGTAAATGGAGGTATTTCATCGGCAAGCCACACCCTCCTGTTTCTTGTTTGATCCCATTGGATTAGGTTACGTTTTCGATTCATCATTTTACGAGGGTTCAATCGAGGAGTGGTGTCGATTATCTTGCTTGATGAATTAAAAGAACATTCTAAACGAGAAACACGCGAATTATATTACGGAAGCATATTTTATATATAGCTAGATAAATATTAATCGAATTTTCCATCGTTGAACCACGATATTCTCGTCGTCTGATCATTATAATTGTATAAATTTTATACTTAGTTAACCAGAGTTATAAATAAGCGCTCCATATAATTATTCCTACACTTCATCAATTAAGCGATATCCCGCGGTGATTTCCTCACGGCGTAACAATAATATTATCAAACTTGCATACACTAGATATTAAAATCGTAGCAATACCGAATTCTAAATATAACCATTACATTTCGTAATTATAGACTGCTCTATCTTATCGAACTCGTTCTCATTTGTATACACTAATTGACTATACACAGCCTTTAATCGAGTCAAGTCGCGTGTACCGTAGCAGGGATCAATGAAATTGTGACACAATGACACACGTTATCCTGTTATTACGTAACGACTGATACACGTCACCAGTTCGTAGATTTACTGCTATTAAACGGTACAGGCTTAAGAATGAGCTGCGATCCTGGAACTCATTTAAGCTGATTCACTGGTGATCGATAGCGGAATTTTATATTCTTGGAACGTACTTCTGTTTGATCGGAATGGCGGTATTGATCCAATGAAGTGAAAATGTGATTGCAATTTCGATGGGTTTATTAACTCCTTAATGAAATGAGTTTTAATTCATAGCGCGAGCAAATTTCTCGCGTGGAAGTGTAGTGCGTGGAGGTACCACGCGGGGAAGTACAATGCGTGGAAGTACTACGCGTGGAAATACTACGTGTGGAAGTACAGTGCGTGGAGGTACCATGCATGGAAATACGGTGCGAGCAAATTCCACGCGTGGAATTACAATGCGTGAAGGCACCACGTGTGGAAATACTACGCATGAAGATACCACGCGTGGAAATACTACGCGTGGAAGTACAGTGCGTGGAGGTACCACGCATGGAAATACGGCGCGAGCAAATTCCACGCATGGAAATACGGCGCGAGCAAATTCCACGCGTGGAAGTACAATGCGTGGAGGTACCACGCGTGGAAATACTACGCGTGAAGATACCACGCGTGGAAATACGGCGCGTGGAAATACTACGCGTGGAAGTACAGTGCGTGGAGGTACCACGCATGGAACTACGGCGCGTGGAAATACTACGCGTGGAAGTACAGTGCGTGGAGATACCACGCGTGGAAATACGGCGCGTGGAAATACTACGCGTGGAAATACTACGCGTGGATGTACAGTGCGTGGAGGTACCACGCATGGAAATACGGCGCGAGCAAATTCCACGCGTGGAAGTACAATGCGTGGAGGTACCACGCGTGGAAATACTACGCGTGAAGATACCACGCGTGGAAATACGGCGCGTGGAAATACTACGCGTGGAAGTACAGTGCGTGGAGGTACCACGCATGGAACTACGGCGCGTGGAAATACTACGCGTAGAAGTACAGTGCGTGGAATTACCATATGTGGAAATACAGCGCGTTGAACTACAGTGCGTGGAGTTACCACCCGTGGCATTTCCAAGCCTTGTACAATCATTGATTGCACTTCCTCTCGCCATAAAACCACACATAGTATCATTTTCGCATACTGCATCTCTACGAAATTAATGTACTTCAATTCATTGCCTCAACACAGATTTCTGGAAAATCTTCCTAAGTTGACTTAAAAAAATCCTGTCTCGTTTCTTGCACAGGTACCACAAAAATATCGGTGATTTTAAAAATGACTGTCTTTAAAAATTTCTGATTTTGTGAAATTTTTTGATAAAGAAGTCGGCAGCTGAAATTAATAACGTATACAGTTTATGCGTGTAGCTTGTATCAGCCACACCAGCGATATTTAGCAGCTCCCCATGTCACTCAATGGAATATCCTTCTTGTTGATCCCCCTGTCGTACCGCAGAATTTGCTTCGATTCATTCCGTTGAATCTTATTCAAGACCGCATGTGCTCTGTATGTGTAGCAGCGGGTAATCCGTTGTCAGTTCCTGTTATTTAGCGTGATTCGTATCGCGTTATGACACATACGTAAATAACTTCTTATCGAATCGTGTGAGAATTCTTGTTGACCCACGATAGACATGTAATCCTCCTATACATGTTCTCCTATTTACAAGAAATTGACTACATGCCATAAAAGGAAAGTATAAAAATAGTAATTACGGTATTGTTTACATCATAAGTTAACGAGATAGCCGGCTATTAAACAGTATCGTAATTCCAAAAGTGAGCAATCAATTATACGGCGAAAGACGTTGTAAAATGATGAGGGTACCGTCTTAACTTCCGAGTTAATTGCGAGGTGTTAATTTACCGTGGAAGAAATTGGACCGACGCTGAAGTCATCTTTGTCTGCCAAAATCCGGTTAGCTATCGAAGTCTTCGAGGTGGAATAACACCGGTTCGCAGAGAGAGAAACGGTGTCAAGCAGTTGTTTCGCTACCAAAAGCACGCTCAGAAGGAAAAGTGTGCTCGTGTACTCTTTTCATCTACCTATTAAGTCGGCAACAGTTGTTTGGAGGAAAAATTAAGGCCTACTTGAAAGTACTTTCAAGAGCAATTTTCACGCCTTTACTGCCGAAACTGTTTCCAGCTTTTTTAATGCACTATTAAGAACACTCGAGGTGCAATGGAATTTTAAATCGTTAGGTATATATCTTTAGGGGTTACAAAATTGTAATGGGGACGATAGTCGCAATTTTAGCTGAGAATTTAGGCAAGTTACTAGAGCTTCGAGCTAGTAGGTGTTTACTCGCAGTTCGTGCAAACGTGCATTGTTTATCTAAACAATGAGAATTTCGGAAACTTGTTACTTCCTGAAACTTGCACTTTAAGTATTTCGATCATGAATATACAAGTGCGTTTTGTACGTAGTTACATTCGTGACAAACAATGCGGTGAATGTGGTTTACAGTTCCTATTGAAACAGATCCCTTTATTGGGAAAGTTAGTGTCTATCTATCTTCACACCTAAAATTCAT